ATTTACACTCTCTTTGCAGTGTGTATAAAGTGTTTATAAAGTTTTATGTACATTATATTTGCAGTGTGTATAAAGTGTTTATAAAGTTTTAATTACATTCTATTTGCAGTGTGTATAAAGTGTTTATAAAGTTTTATTTACATTCTATTTGCAGTGTGTATAAAGTGTTTATCAAGTTTTATTTATTTTCTATTTGCAGTGTGTATAAAGTGTTTATAAAGTTTTATTTACATTATATTTGCAGTGTGTATAAAGTGTTTATAAAGTTTTAATTACATTATATTTGCAGTGTGTATAAAGTGTTTATCAGGTATTATTTACATTATATTTGCAGTGTGTTTGAAAAGTGTTTATCAAGTATTATTTAAATTCTATTTGCAGTGTGTATAAAGTGTTTATCAAGTTTTATTTACATTCTATTTGCAGTGTGTATAAAGTGTTTATAAAGTTTTATTTACATTCTATTTGCAGTGTGTATAAAGTGTTTATCAAGTTTTATTTACATTCTATTTGCAGTGTGTATAAAGTGTTTATCAAGTTTTATTTACATTCTATTTGCAGTGTGTATAAAGTTTTATTTACATTCTATTTGCAGTGTGTATAAAGTTTTATTTACATTCTATTTGCAGTGTGTTTGAGATATTACTCATTACTACAATACGTGCTACCATTCTTTTGGTGTTAAATGTTTTTTCTTTTATATCAGTTGCTAGAGTAATTGATATTAAAGAACTTCAACAGACTTCTACACTTACCTAAACAATTAGAAGCACCACCAGAAAGAGACTCGAACCGGATATCATCCAGGGCTATATACCCACGAAAAATCCTGGAAGGATCAGAATGATTCTTTGGAACACCCTCGATCATAATCTATGAGCAAGGACAAAGAGTGAACAAAACTGTTGAGTTTAATCAAGGAAGAGACAGAACAAATCTAATAAAAAATAACATTATAATATATATACATGTATATATATGTTTATAATGTTAACAATGACGTGACGAAATCAAAACTACGATGTTTCATATAGAAAATTATAGAATAAAGTCATTACCATGCAGGTGAACTCAGTGAGAGAGAGATAGAGTAAGAATAGATTATTTAGTAAGAATGGATTATTTAGTAAGAATAGATTATTTAGTAAGAATGGATTATTTAGTAAGAATAGATTATTTAGTAAGAATGGATTATTTAGTAAGAATAGATTATTTAGTAAGAAT